CGATTTATTTTATTACTCCATTATATTTAAATAATATTTAATTTTTTTTATTTCGTAAGAAATGAGTGACAACGAAGCAGCCAAGAGTCCAGACGATGAATATAAAAAGAAACTAAACAGAATTAAATCAAAAATATGCTATTACAAAAAAAAGAAGCCGCAATGTGGTGGGGTTGAAAACGATAAAGAGAGGAAAGAAATAATCGAAAAATTAGAAACTTACCGTTCAATCCTTAAACTGAGTGAAGCAAAAATAAAAGAATTTAATAGAATAAATAAATTGATTGGAAGGGATGAATTTAATAAAGATGAATTTTTAAACTCAATCCAAATTTAATTTTTATTCCTCTTCCGTCAATGGTTTCCCGAACCCTTCTGGGTTCTTCTTTCCATCATTACTGCATAACCACATCTTCTCGGTTTTTGTGGTTTGTTGTTTTTAATTAGTTTTTGCATCATTTTTATCATTTCCTCCCTTGTTATGATTCGTGGTAAATTTTGAGCTTGTGGGGTGTCCATTTATATAAAAATAAAATTTTGTTATCGTTAATGTTTACGTTAATGTTTACAGGTTATTCAATAATGACTTATTTTTGAAGAACTGAAGGTGCTACCATGTTACCATGTGCTACCAGGTCATTTAACTTCTCTGAAAAAATGTGACAACATGACATTTTGACAACAACATAGGAAATATGATGTTATCGTCATGATTTCATCGTGAATGAACGTTAATGCTTTTGTCAAACTTAAACGTGAATGCTTTGTCATGACTTCTTCGTTAATGTTTACAGGTTATTCAATAATGACTTATTTTTGAAGAACTGAAGGTGCTACCATGTTACCATGTGCTACCAGGTCATTTAACTTCTCTGAAAAAATGTGACAACATGACATTTTGACAACAACATAGGAAATATGATGTTATCGTCATGATTTCATCGTGAATGAACGTTAATGCTTTTGTCAAACTTAAACGTGAATGCTTTGTCATGACTTCTTCGTTAATGTTTACAGGTTATTCAATAATGACTTATTTTTGAAGAACTGAAGGTGCTACCATGTTACCATGTGCTACCAGGTCATTTAACTTCTCTGAAAAAATGTGACAACATGACATTTTGACAACACAGCAGGATTAATGCAAAAATAAATTCAAATCATACTTTATAAAGCTTCATTTACGGGTATTTCATCATCAGTAAATGAATCCTCATCATCGTTTGGTTCAAGCTGTTTATATAATCCTTTCATTTCTTCTTTCAAAACATAACACCATGTTTGTTTACCGTCTATTCTTCTATGTTTCCTATCACATTTATCCTTAATACTCATTTGGAAATTCTTGTCTTTCATGTCTGATGGTTTGCAGAATAGAGCATTTTCACACGTCATACCTGCACACAATTCATCATAATGTGTATTTATCCATACATCTAAAGGATTTGTTGATAATTCAATTAAATCTTGTTTGGCTTCAGTCATCGGTATGATTCGTACATTAAATGATGAAAGGTCATATTGCATAAAATACGTCAGTAAATTATCATAAAATTCCTTTGTGCATGAATCCATTAAATTCTTGAAGTAATCAAATTGACCCTTAAATTTACCATTAACCCTTAAAACTACGTATCTTCTGTCTCCAACTTCAATTTTGACAGGGTAGACGTTGTTAGTTACGAAAATGAAGTTTGCAACATTCTGAGCAGTTCTTCTGGGTTGATTCTTTTCATTAATTCTTATCTCATTATCCGTTATAATTGATTTCAAAGCGTTGAAGTTTGCGAGTCTATCTTCACCAACATTCTTGAGTTCATTAAGTACAAGAAACATTTTATTTTCAACAACCGAATTGAAATTACCCGTTAACTCACTTATTTCAGTAATGTTTTTACATGAATAACCAGCGAGAAGTTCAGAAATAATGTCTGTAAATCTGTTTTTACCTGTTCCCTGAAGTCCTTTCAAAATAATTGCTGTTTCATTCTTGATTCCAGGATGTTGAATCATTGATGCAATCCAGCCGAGTAGGTATTTATACACTTCATCGTTATTATCACAAATGGCTTCTTTAATGAAATTCATAAACATCTCAATTTTTGAGTAATCAGGCTTTTCAAGAATGTTGTATTTATAACCCTGAAACGTTGAGAAAACATCTGGAGAATCAGATTTAAAGCAAACACCCTTAACGGTTAATGAGGATAATTGATTTAATAGTACGTCCCATGCTGTTATTGTTTTACCTTCTTCTTTAAATAATTTAATCATTTTAAGTGACTCTTTCATGTTTGATTGAAGAACGAATGATATTTGATTCATTTTGTCGTGTATGTTGTAATCTTTCTGAATGAAGTATTTGTTTCCACAATCTACAAAACGGATTACACGTGATAAATCCTCAATTACTTCAGAACTGTTTTTATACTGATGATTTTCAGCCTTGCGTCTAATATCTGTTATCAAAAACGAGTCATCAAGTTTGATATCAAATGTTATTTTTGGCTTACGTAATAAAGGTAAAACGTATTCATCATAATATTCCTTTTGGTATAGTTTTAGAATCTTCACTAAAACAAATGGAGAAGTCATTAAATGTGCATATCTACTACGTGCTTTTTCAAAATTACTTTTAGCATTTTCAGTTAAATTGCAGAAGTTATAAACGTTATCGTAGGCTTCATTAATTAAATGATCTGGTAACGAATTAATTGCTTGAAACAGTGTGAATAATGTTATTTCTTTTTCTAAATTCATGTTTCCACCGTCATTATGTACTTCAAAATCACAGATGCCATCAACTATGCTCTGGGCAAGTTTATCGTCAATGTTTACATCTTTGTTTTCATTCATTATACTCTTTATTTCTTCATTCTTCTGTTCAACTCTTACCTTAATATTCAAATCATTTAATATATCGTTTACTGTTCTAGTTAATGTTGAATCATAACTTCCACGAATGAATGAGTATGTTTTGATTGGTTCTGTTGCATTCTTGCGAACTCTTGAATCAGCCATAACCACTAATGAACGCTTTGAATCATCCATAGAAGTCATTATGTCAATATCATAATCATTGCAGGAATAACATTTAATCATTCTGTTCGAGGTTGAATAGAAGAAATTAGTGTTGCAATAAATGTGAAGACCTCCTGATGCGGTTTAACGATAACATCTTTATCCGAAAGTTTTGATAAAATGTCTTTTCTAACTGTTTCTTTAAGTTCATCATTGTACGATTTATTGATATCAACATCTATAATCGTTAAATTTGAAATTTTATTTACTAATAAAGCCATACCAGTTTTCCTTCCTCTTCCTCCATCGTATTTGAGGTAGTTATGTAAATCAATCTTGTTTTCACCAATTCTTTCGTTGAGGGTTTTAGTTTCTGCCACAACTAATTCCTCAGCTAATGAATCAATCACTTGTTCATCAGAAACGATAAAGTTGCTGCTGTCGTTTGTTGCTGTCATTTATATAGGAATAAAAAAATAAAAATAATTTTAAAACTAACTTTATTTTTGGACTGCATCATATTTTCGTAAATGTTGTCAAAATGTCATGTTGTCACATTTTTTCAGAGAAGTTAAATGACCTGGTAGCACATGGTAACATGGTAGCACCTTCAGTTCTTCAAAAATAAGTCATAACTGCCTTCCTCCTATGTTGTTGTCAAAATGTCATGTTGTCACATTTTTTCAGAGAAGTTAAATGACCTGGTAGCACATGGTAACATGGTAGCACCTTCAGTTCTTCAAAAATAAGTCATTATTGAATAACCTGTAAACATTAACGTAAACATTTATTTCTGCAGTTCATTCATTACTTCATTACCTAATTAATTACAGACATAAAATATATTTAGTTCATTCAATGAACGCGGTAAGCCTGCAAAGTAGGCTCAAGCACATTCAATAAATGCGGTACCATGCGAATACAGTCATAAATGGTGGCATATAATCTTTACCCAAGCCTGTTGGATTTGTTGTGAAAGTATGTGAATGATTTCCTCCTGGTTCAGTTGGTCGAAAAGTCTTTTTTGCTGAATGGTTATAATCTGGAGATAAAACGTCATTGCCAGCATAATATTCTGAGTTGTATAATGGATGGTCTCTTATTGAATGTGTATGATTACCTGATGTGTTTGTAGTTCCTGTATGAGTGTGCGGTGGAAGGTTTGCTTCAGTAATTTTCTTTGAACCACCGGTTTCCTTTGAAGAGTTCGCACAATACAAAAACCTGTCGAGTATTTGTTCCCATGCACCAACACCAAACATTACTTGAGGACCTCTTGCATCCATAGATGTATAAATAGAACCTACTGGGTTCATTAAATCAAACATATGAGATATTATAGGATTGTCTCTTTTGAACTTAAAATATAGTGCAACAATTTCGGGTTTCTTCTGGTTTGTGTCAGAATATTTTTTATAATATAATCTTATGTTTTCAGGGTAGGTAAAATCTTGACTATAATATTTATTTTTGTCATCTATATAATAATATACTATTCTCGTTTTTTCTATTGCATTATATCTTTTATATCTATAATAATCTAAATATAATGTTAGCTTTTGTTCATCTACATGCGGCGTTCTGACATCATCTCCATAGTCGAAATAATACGGTGCTGGAGCTACGTTAGACAATGTCATATCCGTCATTTCATAAACTCTTAAAATTTCTTTTGTTCGTCTCCATATAAGTTTAAGTAACAGTTGTTGTCTAATGGAACTTTAACTTGTGTGTCATCATTCTTTATATAACTTACATACATTTCATTGTTATTTTTCGGAATGAGTTTACACCGTATACCATTTTTTAAGGAATGTACCAATTGCCATCTAAAATATTTATTTTCTTCATAGACGGAAAAGTCACCAGCAATAGTTTCAATATTTTTAGTTGTTCCTATCAAACTTTGGTATATTTCATTCACACAATCCTTATCCGCTTTCTTCATTAATTCACTAGTCACATAAGTTTTATCCGCTTTAAGGTCTAAACATTCTGAAACCCATCCTGTATCAGCTTTAGTTTTTAAAATCTTTGATGTCCATTCATGATACCTTTCAACCCTTTCTTTAATTTCATTATCTTTTTCATTAACATATTCCTTATCTGCCTTCTTCATTAATTCACTAGCCATAAGTCCCTTATCTACCTTCTCCTCTAACTCACTAACCACATATTCCTTATTTGCCTTCTTCATTAATTCACTTACCACATATTCCTTATCTGCTTTCTTCTCTAACTCATCGTTAACATATTCCTTATCCGCTTTAAGGTCTAAACATCCTGAAACCCATCCTGTATCGGCTTTAGTTTTTAAAATATTTGATGTCCATTCATGATACCTTTCAACCCTTTCTTTGATTTCATTATCTTTTTCATCAACATAAACCAAATTTGCTTTCTTCATTATGTCGTTTAGGAAACCTTCTATGAATTCCTCATTTAAATTAAATCTTCCAATCTTCAAAACTTTAGGAAATGCATTTAATGCGTAATATCTCTGTTCTTCTGGTGGAATTGATGTTATATCATCCGTTATACCTTTAATTTTAGAATTCATAAATAAAATTTCTTTTATATTTGATATCACTGCACCACCTTTGCAAACGAATTCGAAATGGTCATTTTTCAATACTATCTCCAAATCTCCATATTTCAACCTTTGCGTTTGTTCTGCCGTCTTTGAATTATATGCATATATGGCGTATGTAATGGTCTGAGGGACCTGGGTGCTTTGTGCCTTAAGTTGTTGTGGTTGCTGTTGTTTAATCATTTATTATGATTTAAAAATAAATATTTAATCTGTTATCTCATCAGCTATTTTTTCTATTTGAAATTGCCATAATATTTCATTCATGAATTCTAAATCACAATCAAATAGGTCAGTTACTCTAAATTTAATATTTGATAAATCTTTTGAATGAAGAATAAATGAATTCCCAGATAATTGAAACGGATATGATAAAGAAAATATGTTTAAGTTGATGGATAAAATGTTTTGTATTGATGGGTAAGAGTTATGGTCTAATGTTTGATGTGAAAATCTCATTGGGGTATTAACTTTATCACATTTGATTAAAATGAAATTGGAACCAGTGTCAGAATACAAAACATCCCCAACATCTTTTTCAAAATTTAATATCCCCAACAATGAACGAAAATGAGGAGTACAAAATTTAATTTTCAGCGGGAATTTAATAAGGTTATTTATTTCATCAAGTTCAAAAAGTTTATCGGGTTTTGATTTAAAATTTTCTTCATACCATACGATAAATGATTCATTTAAATAACTTAAAATCATGTTAATATCCCATTTCGTTATCACATTATTTATATACATATCATACGTTTTTTCATGGTCATCTTTAATAAATGATATATAATCTGAAGGGTCTAAAAGAATGGGATTAAATTTACCACTCACAGAAACGAGAGTAACATTATAAATTCCGCTAACTGTTAAATTTAATTCACAGTTATTATTCGAAATAATATTGATAATTGACATTTTTATTACGATTAAAAATATGGTAAAGCGTTATTTTCCAGTGATAAATAAAACTAGAATAAGATTACCTCAAGAATTCATAAATTCAACGAATAAGAAATTCATTCATGTTATAAATTTTAGTGTTTTCAGAAAATATGAGTCAATGTCATATTCATCAACGGGTTATATTTCACTTCATTCAAATTTAGTTCAATCAAACCCATATAATGACCATTTCATAAGATTTTCAGATGGTATTAAAAATGTAATTGATAGATTAAAATATGAACAGATTGACAATATCGAATTTTTGGAATTTTGGTTTAAATATCCCGATGGAAAAAAGATTGAAGTTAAAACTAAAGCTGATACTATAACAAAAACAATTACAATGACTGATCCAGATAGTGGGAAACAAAAAGAAATAAAACAAACGATAGAAACTGGTGAAAGGTCAATTATTATTGATTATGATTCAAAGGATTATTATTCGATAATGTTAATGCTTGAATATTAAATAGCCTTAACAAAGAATTTTTCAAGTGATATTTTATATTCATCAACTATTTTATTATAAATATCATTATATGTTAAATGAAGTTCAGTTGTTGTTCCGTTCTTTTGATATCTTAATTGTGCTAATATCCTTTATAGGATTTATTTTTGCAACTGTTCCGCAGCATGAAACCTCATCATCTATGAAAAATTGAATCTTAACGTCTGAATCTTGAACATCACAAAGAATGGCGATAATGTGAATTAATGATTCATAAGGTAAAATAATTAAACCGGATTGGTCAATTAAATTTATTATTGAATCATAATTATCAGTTATTATATCACGGTAAATTTTCATTAATTCAGAATTAATGTCTATTTTATATGGCGCATTGCGACTGGAATCGTAGATTCCTGGGTTCTCGATGTTTGATGAAAGAGGTGGGGGGTATGTTGGATAAGTGGGAATTTCAACAGGTTCTTTACCGGGTTCAGATAAAATGATTGGGTCTCCATCTTCTTTATTTTGCTCCTCCTCTTTCTTTGGTAAGTCACGAGTTAATAAATTTGGTTGAGTTGCTGACCTTGTTAATTCAGGGCTAACATTAACTTTAACATTTTGAATAATTCGTGATTTATCATCATTTACGTTATAACCAACCGTAATCTCTGCTTTTGCGTTAGTGTTCTTTTGACTAGTGAAACGTCTTCTCATTTATAATCGAATAAAAAAAATATATTTAAACTTTTATTTTGCTGGAACTTTTGAATCTATTATTCCCTGTATTTGTTCATGAAGTTGATTTTTAGCATTTTCATCGAAATTAATAGACCGAATATATTCATTAATTGCATTCTTATAATCATTTGATTTCTCAAATTTTCTTTTATCTGATTCCTTAACTAAATCATAAGTTAAACCTCGTTGCTGATATAATGGTTTCTTAATTAAATCTTTGAATGCTTGAGATAAAGCACCTGATGCAATTCTTGCTACTATAATTGGTTGGAATTGCTGTTTAAGTTCATCCTTAACATTTGCGAAAACTGGATCGAATAAAGCAACTTTAAAGAATTTCTTAGCTGAAATTTCAGGTCTCAAATTTGCATATTGACCATCAAACTGGTTAGAATATCGTGGTAATCCATCCGGTCCCTCTTCAATAGCATTTAATTCTTCATTGAAATAAGAATATGGATTATGACGGTATGAATTAATTGGACCATTTTCACCTTCTCCAATGTATTGTTTAACAGCTTTTCCATTTTCATCAAATTGCATAGGATAACGTTCATTATATGCTTTACGTTTAGGATAATCAGATATAGTTAATTTATAACCATTTATGACTTTAATATTACCTTGACCATCAGTAACGAAAACTTCATTTATACCATCAGGTTTTCCATTTGGACCTGTAATGTCTGCTTCGTGTGCTTCCCAATTTGGACCATGACGTTTGGCATATGCTTGAGCTTCTGGTAATGTTAAAACGTTTCTCATTTGTTTAACATCTTTTTGAAGACCAGCAACAATGTGGACTAATTCTTTCATTCCATCTGGAACTTTCATAGTTCTATTATATGCACCCTTTTTGTTTGTCCCTTGTTTTAATGGAACCTGTAGAAGATTTGCTATTTCTGTCATGTTTAATTATAAATAAAAAATAAAAATTAATTATAAAAAGTTAATCAAATTTAACACTTCCTTTATTTAAATCAACTATTATTTTTCCATGTTCACCTAATTGCTGATATTGTGTGTAAAGTTCATTAATGCTCATTGGTAAATTCACTTGATAAAGCATAACGTTCAACTGTTGACGACTAAACCCACTGAAAATGAAAAGTGTTGATAGATTTGATTTAATGTTTGTGCTTAATGCTTTGAAGTATTGAACAGCCATGAAGAATGAACACTGAATGTGTCGACATTGAGTTAATAACTGATTAAAATATGATTTCTCATTTGTTATTAGTTTTGATTTCACCGCATCATCTAGAAAAATGAGTGAATGCAAAAATTCTCTATCAAAATTTGAAATAGAAAGTGTTTCAAATAATTCATCCCGCTGTTTATCAATAATTTTATCCTCTAATCCTTGCTTCTTGATTGTATTATATAATTCTTTATACATTAAAAAGTTTTTTAAAGAATCTTCTGCTTCTTCTTGTGATAAATAAATAATTGGAATTTTGATTAAATGCTTTAAAGATTCAAATGTATCATCTGAAGGTGAACCTGAACGGTTGATATAAATTAACACATGTGAATGGGGGAAGTGTTAGCAATAATGATAATTTGTTTTAATATCGTTAATGTTTTACCTTTATTTTGTTTACCAATTGCTGCAGTGATTGAATTTAAGTAACATTCAGAATATGGAATTTTCATTAATTTTTCCTTAGATAGAGCATTTCTATTATCACTCAATGCTTCATTAATCATATCATCTACGTATGTATTATATACTCCTGCTAATTCTTCATAAGGAGTGTATGAATTTAAATCCATTTAATCAAAAATAAATTTATAATTTTAAACATTTCTATTCATCAATATTTCATCATATGAACTTCTATACTGTGGTGGTGTACCTGTTGAATGATATTTCAAACCTTCATCCGGTGTCCATGTCCAATATGTAGTCCTAGTAAACCAAACCTGAGGAGGATTTGTCACCTTTGAACAGTAAGTGTCATTTTCACCCTGAATGATTGGATAAGCTTTCACTTGTACTGTAACTTGTGAGTTGAAAGTTTCTAATCCATCAAAGAATATACCCGCTCCATCACGTTGAACTGGAATAGTGCATAAGAATGAAGTTTGGTCTTTCCATGTTCTAGCTAATGGCGTGCCATTATCATCATTCAGTGGTCTAGTTAATGAGTCCTCGTATTCTTCTGTGCATTCATTCACTCCATCTAAATCAGAAGCTTGAAGCATACGTGTAAAGAATATGTCACCCACTGTGGTCATCGCTTGATCGGGGAAGTTTCTGGAATCTATAGTGACCTGAAGACCTCGAAGCATTGGATTTTCTAAAACTGTTCTTTGCATTGCATTCTTCGGAAATGTTAACACAACATCTGTAACATTATGAAGAGCGTATGAGAAATCTGAGCTAATACCTTCAGGAGTGATGCAACCTCCATTTAGTGAACGAACGTCAATATGTTGAGCTGGAATCATGAATGGATCTTCCTTACTGAATAAACGTGGTATTGCTTTAACTGATTCTTCAATTAAACCGTATCCTGGTGTAATACATTTATCCTCTAAAACTTCCATCTTTGTGCATGAAATAATAACATTATATCAACTGTTGCGTCAGCAGATGTAGCGGCTAAGCTTGTAATTAATTTGGCAGGAAGTCCGATTTGTTGGAATTTGCGATCATATTTATAAACATGATTCATAATCTTTTCATAATTTTCATCAGTTATATTTTCATAAACGTAATTTTGTAAATCAGCAACTCTTAACGGGTCAACCTGACAAAATACTAAAGTATCCCTGAAAACATAATATTTAAGAATGATATCACCAAATGATTTAGGATAATCATCGAACGCCTGAAATGCTAACAAATCATTTACCGGAATAATCATATCAAAAGTGATATCAACTTCTTCATATGCTTTCTTGAAAACTTCTGAAGGGTCAATATATTTACCACATACTGAGTTATCATATTTTTGAACATATTATATAACGAATGAACAAACTTTTTAACTTTCCTTTCTGATTTTGGTTTATATGTTGCAAATGCGAAAGATTCACGGGCGCAATCCATTTGAAGATAACCAGCATCACCTCTTTCAGTTTCTACTTCTAATTGTTTAAAGTTTTGATTTGATGATTTGTAACCAACGAATAAACGCATGCATTTAAAAGCGGCATCACATGTGAAAGCTTTATTTGAAACTAGAGTTACTTTAACTTTGCGTTTAATATATGTGTCACCTAATTGATTCACATCATGAGCTGGGTTTGTAATTCTTAAATGAGTTTGTTTATCATCAAAATATGGAGCATCAGAGTCATAGCATGAACTTTCAAGTTCTCTATAATATCTTCTACCGTCATTCTTTGCGAATATTTCATTTATCTTTTCGAATGAATGAAACACATTTCCATTAATTGGTTTGGTGTTTGGCACCAAATAGTTAGTCGTCATTTATTATTAAATAAAAAATCAAAATTAAAATATGAAAATGAATTTTTAATTTTAATGAAATAATCAACTATGGCTGCAGGTATATTTAAGAAACTGTGGGATAAAGTAAAAAGAGGAGCGCATAAAGTTTGGGAAACAATGAAGAAGGGAGCAAATTGGATATTTAAGAATAAAGAAGCAATTAGTGACGTTGCTGAATCAATAACACCAAAAGCTGCCCCAATAAGAGAAATTTTAAATAAAGGAGAAAAAATTTATCAAAGACTACAACCGATACTAAGATAAAAATAATATTTATTTATTTTTCCACTATCTTCCTCCTATTTTATTAAGTATTCCTTCAGCTATTCCACCAATTGCGTTACCTGCTTGTGCTCCCATCGCCGGATTACCTGCTTTAGTACCTAATACCCCACCTATGATAGTTCCCGCCGTTTTCGCTACTGGTGCCAAAAAGTTTGCAACAGGTTTAATAACCTTTTTATAAACCCAACCTGCAGCTTTCTTAATTCCATCCCATAATTTTTTAAAGAATCCTGCCGCCATTTCTGATTTAATATTAATTAAAAAATATATTTCATCACTTATATTCTAATTTTTATTTAATGATAAATGAAACCGATTTTAAAAATAAATGAAACAGAGGAGGAAGAAATAAATGAAAGTGAAAATGTTCAACAAAAAATAAACGTTGTTAAACCAATTACTGAAATAAAAATTTTTTCATCTGTTGAAGAATTTAATGACTATTATGCTAATAATAAAAAATTATTTGAAGAATTGACAACATGTAAATTGAATAAAATGTTTAAAGTTGATGGATTCAAAATTTCAAAAATAAAAGGGGTGGTTAGTTTGAAATCTATTCCCCAATCAAGAATCACCTCATTAATGAAAATAGATGATTTAACAAAAAGAATAGAAATTATTGAAGAGCGAATAAATCAAATTATTGATTTCATAAATTCAAATAATCATTAGTTTCTAATTTCTTTTTCTCGTTTATGAGGTCTTTGATTATGACTCCATTGATTCCATTCAGGATTTAAAGAATGTTTAATTAATCGCGGAATATCTGACATCATCTATATATAGCTTCTTTTATTTTTTTATTACATTATGTATGGGCTGAGTGTAAATGTCTTACAATTTTGAACATTTTTAAATCTTGATTTATTCAAAAACGTAAGAATAAAAAATAAATTATGTTTAAAATTAATGTTAAAAATAATGATACAAAATCGTTCAATATTGTATGAATTCTTACGTTTACAAAAAATGTCACATAACCCATCATATCCTACTACTAAGCAATAATGAACATTGAAAGAAAGATAATTTCATAAATTACTGAGATACATTAAAAGACATTGAATTCCATTAATGGATAATAAATTTGATGAGAAAGGTAATCTTATAAAATAATGATTAATGTAAAAAGAAAGAAAATGCGATTAAACATTAATAAATATGAAAAGAAAGAGAATTTCATAAAAAAATAAATGACATGGAAAGGAAATGTATTGCATAAAATAATAATTGATATGGAAAGAAAGAAAATTGGATAAAATAATGGTTGATATGAAAGGAAGTCAAATCCAATAATTATAATAATAGATGTAATAAGAATGAGAATACCATAACAAGAATTAGGATTTCATTCAACTCTGATAGATATGGAAAGCAATATAATTGTAGAGATCGATGAATGATAGGAGAAGTATAGGAATTTTACAAACCAATGATTGATATGAAATGAAATAGAGTTTCATTGAACAATGATAGATATGAAAAGTAAATTAATTAGTTTCATATTGATAAATGCACCATGTTCAACAAAGAATCTAACAACATCAACCGATTTCGCCTTTATTGCGATAGCGAGAGGATTTTCTTTAATATCCAAAGAATTTCATAAAACAATGGAATACATGGATAGAATAAGAATTTCATAATACATTGATATATATAAAAAGAAATGGAATAATTTTCATATCTACACCATATTCAACCATTAGTTTAACAATATCAACAGAATTTTGCTTAATTGCAACACTGAAAGGACAATCATTAATATCACAAGAATTCCATAAAACAATAACAAATATAAAGAGATAGAGGATTTCATGTAATATTGATAAATATAAAAATATAGATAATAAGTTTCATCATGATATCTGCACCATGACTAATTAAGAAACTAACAATATGAATTAAGTTCTCTTTGATGGCAATAGTGAGAGGGCATTCACTAAAATAATAATAATTGTTTCAATCAATGAAAGATACAATAAGATAAAGAATATCATGTAACAATGAAAAATATGAAAAGAAAGATAATAAGCTTAAAATTGACATCAGCACCATTGTCAACTAAGAATGTAACAATATCCATAGCATTCGTTTTGATCGCAATAGTGAGAGGGTTGTCACTAATATGAAAAACAAGTAGAATTCCATGATACATTGATAGATATGAAACGAAAATTATTATATGCTTTGTTAATATTTGCTCCATTAGTGAGTAAATAAGAAGCAATATCATAATTACCATAATACATGCTTTCTGCAATTGAAGAAGGAACTTGGCCTAAATTCGATTTAAGGTATTCTGCAATTTCAAAATTATGATAATCCAATGCTATATCGATCATGTTATCAAATGATTGGCCATCATATAACATTTGTGAAAAAATATTTTGATTACCACTTTGAATAGCATATCTTGATGATTCTGCAGTGTATTTTGCACCTTGGTTTCTCAAATAATTGAAACATAATTCTGATCCGTATTTAATTGCGCAATCAAGTGGAGATATTGAATTAATTTTAGAATTAACTTCAAGGTTTGGAAATCCATATTTAAGACCATCAAATTTATCCCAAGCAATATAGTATAATGGTGATTCTTTTGAGTATAAATTGATAATTTCTTCTTTATCTAATTGCGGTTTGAATTGTTTAAATTTCAAGCCTTTATAATATAACAACGATGCTAATCTATCATTATTAGGTTTGATGATGTGCGAAAATTCGGTTGATAATGTTTGATAAAGTTCTGCAAATAATTCAATATCTTTTAATCTAATATTTGAAAAAATGTCAATAAAATAGAAAGCCATTTGGATAGATATTTTGTTTGCTTTAATGAGTCCTATGATTTGCGAAGATATTTCTTCAATATTATTGATGTTGACATCCCATATTGTTTTTGAAGCCAGATTAGGGCTTGCAAATGTTTCAATTGGCTTAATGTTGCTAAAATCTTGGAAATCTTCTTCAGATTGTTGTGCTTGACATTTATATAATTTTATATAAAAAAAATTCCATAGTATTCAATTATTTTTGATTGAAATGATGAATGGCGGAATAAACACGAATTAATCATATGAACCGGAACTCGACTTTTTCGACATATTTAGATCACTTCACGCCCCTATAAAATCTATGGAAAATTTTGAAATTTTTCATGGTAAATTTCATATCAAATGTAGATAGTGATAATCTAAGACACACATCATTATGACATGCAGGTGACAAGCACAAGCATTTTTCAATTAAAATCTGAATCTGAAAAACGGAATCAGCATAATTTTTCTAATCTAAATAGATCTGGAACTAAGGATGTCAATTCGGAAAATTGTTTTCATTTTAGGAGAATATAATTTTCCTTTTCGAAAATTTAAAAAGTGAGGCGCGCAGGATTCGAACTTTTTTAAAAGTTGATTTAAATATATTCTAGTGTGGATTCTAAGGATAATATCATATTTAAAATAAGAATATACTAGTTTAGGTGGTATAATTTTTTCGATAAATTTGAGAGCATGTACGTTTAGGGCATCAAAAGTGTCAATTCGCTCAGCGAAAGCTGAGCTAGCTTTGTTCTCGAAAGAATAGGGAAGGAGTGAAAGAGAGTGATACAGATGTTGACACATTCATATCATTTCAACAAATTTTGATCAAATTGAAATGCAATGAAATTCAATTCACTTCATATCCTTCAGTCAGTACATTGACATCCTTCTACATCACAATGATAACTCGTGCATCAATAGTTCTACAACTAACTCAGAAAAAACAAGATTTTTCCTTCCAGCTTACAGCTTTTAAAAAGTTTCGATGATAAAAATCACTCTACTCTTGTTTATCGATATGTTGTGATAGTAGGTAAACGTATTCTTATCGATATTAATAAAAATATTTTTACGAAAATCTGAACCAATTACAGAGTTATTCATAAAGTTTATGATAACTGTAATTACTTCATCTTTGTTTTATATTTGAATAAACAATTTAATTTAATTTGCATAATTTTTTTTAGTTGAAAGACAGGAAACTTAGTTGAGTTTGTATTATTTTTATCGTTCAATTCATTGTATATGTGAGTGATCCAGATATTTAAGATATTTAGAAAAAATTTATTAATTTGATTAACAAATTTTAATCAAAATAGCAAAAATCTATTTGATAGCTGTAAGCAAATAATAATTTCTATTTCAACCAAAATCACTTATTTTCATCTAAACGTATAAAATTGTCAATTTTATGAGAATAAATTTAAAATCTCATGAAATATAAAGGAGAGTAATATTTTTCAATTTTCTTTTTTTCTTTCTCTCAAATATTTTCTATTGGGAATTTTCTTGAGAGGTAGGGCAACGATAGGTCAAAAAGGCTTCTCTGATAGATTTCCTTGCCTTTTGGATATGCTATAATATATAGCCTAGCATGATAGGATATGATGTCAAAAGTTAGAACATAACTTAGGATCTTGAGAAAAATGAAAAACAAAAATTACATAAAAAAAGAAAAATTTTATCTAATTTGTTTTTTTGGACCGAATAAGTAATTTTATTGAATTTCAATACGACACATAGATTTTATTATTAGTAATAAATATAATGGTTTACTATTAACAAGGAACCTAAACTAATGAAAATTTGATTTCAAATATTGTATATGATTATCATAGATTACCAAAATATATTGCTATTTATGAGGATATAATATTGATTATTAGTAAATCGTATAAATTTAATAAATATACCATGAATATTGAATGAATTTCTTGATTCATAGGGGTAAAACGCGCTTTTATATGATTTAGACAGAGAATTTATGAGATGTAAATAACACAATAAAGGTTTATATTGAATATTTTCTAAAAATAAATCGAAATTATAAAAAACAATACATTTATTCATTGAAACTACTTGGACAAATATGAAACAAGCATTCAGGCAATACTTTTGAGACTTCAACGCATCTGATAATTTTTATATAACTTCACCTCTTATGCTTAGAGTGGAGGTATTGAGATCGTATAAGTATAGATGAGCTCACATTCAGATATGATGTGTGAACTTCTGTTTTCACTGCAATTTTGAATCAGAATAAACTCAAAACAAGAATAAAATGATATACTCACTCTCTAAATGTGTTCGAGATTTAAAGTTGTATGAATAAAACGATTCATCTTTCGAAGCCTCCCATTTAATGAGAGACTTCGAAAGATGAATGTATTCATGTAGATGAAATACTATATATGACCATGTGTGATACTAAAGATATCAAAATGTTCATTTTTAAGTGCAATAGAAGGGTTATCTCTCGTAAAATCTCAATTTAAGGAAGATTTAGAAAGAACTCCTTTCCTAAGTAGATAGTGTGTGGTTTCTGTCTTTTGGTTGATCAGGAACTATGAAATTAAGTCGGACAGAAAGAAGTTCTTTCCAAAACAGACTCCAAATGAGTTGTTCGAAAAGAACTTCCTTCTGTATATGGATAATTGTAGTTACCGCACTGAAGTATGTGATTGTGATGATGGAGTTCTCGATAAATCTAAAATCGGATTAAGATTAATTGAAAACTCAAGTAATTCTTTGAAATCTTGTGTTGTCTGGCACTATAATAACCAAAGAATGAGAATATTATGTTGAATGATGAGTACGTGTGCTCGGCATTCGCCGAGCGAATTGAGTTTAACGTACTATGAAAAGTGACAAATTTGGGCTTTTTTTCCTAGGGTTATGATCTCTTCCTTTCTGCTCAATACGACAGAAATGAAAGAATGAATTTGTACTCCCTAATTGATTACTACAATCTGTATCTATCTTTAACATAGAATTAGCTGCATTGTGATTTATACTCCAGAATTATTCAATTTAAGATCAACCTCGTAAATTTTAATCATATTGCACCAATACTCCTACGTTGAGATAAGAACATGATTATACATACCAAAGCCCCATATTAAAAATCAAAATTTAGCACCTCCATTATGCAACCACATTATTCGTCGCAAATAAGTATATTTACGCATATTATGATGCATATTCACACAACTCGTATACATGAAAAGTTATTAAAATCAGACAAAATTATTGCAATAAGGAAAAAAAAACAACTTTATTATATATGTTAGTAATGAATTACAAATATTTCTACAAAGAATGCTCAATACTTCATATAATCTTCGAATATTTCTTATTACAAGTTAATACATTTTGACTCGAACATGATAAACAAAAGCTGACACGCTGATTACTACATTTATGAAAATATAGTACGTTTCCATTCATCTGTTTACTTGTTTTTGTTGGAATAAAATCATTTTTTTTTTCTTTCATGAAATAAGAATTTTGCTGCGAAAGCAATATCTCTAACAATAATTAATACATTACGTCAACTCTGGAATGAGTATTTATCAAATATGATATCAAAATCAAAAATTAGTTGTTTTTTATGAGTAAAAACGATGTAAATTGATTATTTGACTAATTATCAAATACTTTGATTTTCCAAATTTTTTTCGAAATTGATTTTTTCATGTGAAAATTCAAATTGTTTAATTTCATTTTTGAAATTTTGAATTTTTTTTGGAATTTTGAGTTGATCAATTCAGCAGAATTGATAATGCTATTGCTTTAGGGCATACCACAAGGTGATGAATAAAAGGTGAACATTAACAAATTATTTTAAATCACAAATATCATCCTCATCAACTTTAATTCTAAAAAGAACTGTACTGAATTATGAAAATGCATGATTTACATTATTAAAATCTTTGAATGAAAATAGTACAAGATAAGTTTTTATTCATTTTTAATTAGATTTAAACGAAAAACTACTCCATATTAAAATTTAAGTCGAGAAATCGTATTTTGTTCTTATTTGTTAGCATTTTGTAGACATTCTAATCTTGAATTAATTTGTTACATGATATTATTAACAAATTTAACTGAAAAAATATGTTAATATGGAATAAACCATGATTATATAAGCTATCAATGCTATATATACATATGTAAAAGATTCATATTAACTCAATTAACAAAAATGATAGATTTTCATAAAGGTTCAATCTAGGTTCGTCCGAAAATTTTGATTTTTATATAGAAGACATAGTTTCATATACATAATTAAATTTTCAAACAAATTTGATCATACCATTTATTAAGCAGGATAGTATATTAATTACTATCAGTATAAAAATATAAAAATGATTATATTTAATTATTGCATAATTTAGTCAAAGAGTTATAAGCCTCAAGTGATCGTTATCACCTTCAATGCACGTATACTTTATTGATTCATAGATATTTAATCTATGTTTGACATGTTGTTGTCGTCATTCGTTTTGTTCCCATTCTTCCTAAGTTAGAATTAGAGAATACACCATCCACATCATCTAATTTGGTCCTCAGCGATAGATTGGTTCATTTTGGAGGAGTCCCATCAGACAGTTTTCGAGCACCAAATATCAAATTTTAATGTATACAAATCTTTAGTGATTTATCTCTTTTATGATGAGTAAAAGGTTTCTGCTCATCAACATTTGATTTCCGACATATATGATTTCTAATTGCAATTATTTACTTTCTTTTTATAATCTAACTCTGTGACTCATACCATAAATTAATTATTGGAAAGTGTCAATATGTTTGGCACAACGCATGGCGGAAGATACCAAACCATGCAGGGAATATGATACGTTTAAGATCTCCGAACTTTTTTCCAAAAATTTTCTATCGTTGCCCTACCTCTTTTTCTTGTTATCAAAAAATAATTTTAATATTTGTTTATTTCATTACATACAATAAAATTTTAAAAACTCTATTTCTTCACAAGAAAATTTTTTTCCTTCATATGAAGAAACATTTTGTTCTCCATTTGATGCTGAGTCTAAATCTCGATTTTTGAATTTTCTTCTTTTCAAATTTCTTTTTTCCAAATTAGAAGTTTAATTCAAATTTTCAATAGTTTATATATTTTCTCAAACCGTCTTAGATTTTCTCACTTTTTAGGGATTTTCTCTCAAAATATACAAAAATAGTAATACCAATACATGTGTCTAATATACTTTAAAACCATCGTGATAAAATTCAAAAACGAAGAGTTCTTCTCTCCAAATTTTTTTCAAAATCAAAAAAATGAGATAAAAAAATACGTTTGGAAAATTCATTTTTAGCATTTTAGGAATTTTCTCACTTTTCTTCCAAATTGACATCCTTACTGGAACTCATTATCTTAATCAAATACATAATACTAAAATGCTTTTGATAAATTTAAATAACTTAGTGAATATCTCGGCAAAATTTACTTTCAATTTGGAAAAAGATTCAAAATATCACTTACAATAAGCACGATAAAAGCATATTTGCATGGAAATCCAATTTAAATTTTGAAAAATGGGTCTTTACGAATCAGTTGAGGAGATACCACCTGATTTTTTTAATGATTTACTTGCCACTGACATTAAAATCAATGATCCTATTGTTAAGGCCATCTTATCATCAAGACTATTGACCCATAATAGTTTAGAAAATAATATTTTAACAAAAGTAGCTCAAACGAAACCAAATAATGTACGAGTATTAGTTTATCAAGCAGTATTTTCGATAAATAGAATATCGCAGATACAATATCAAACAGAAATTCCCCAAGCTTTACTAATTTCATGTTATAATGCTCTTTTAGTTTTACAACGCTTTTGTTCATCTGTAGTAACTAAATGGCATACATGGCCTTCTCCATCAACAATGTCATCTACAGTTCCAACCGTATTATTTGATTCCTCAATAACAATCCTCGGCCATCCTCAAATACAAAATGCTACGGAATCTACTCTTCAAGGACATATCCGTCTTGAGATATTTTCAACAATTTTGATGTATTTATTATCACCAAATCAAGAAATCTACGAAACATATCCAAATCATCATTTTTATGCTCTCAACATGTCGAATCCTTTACCAATTATTAACATTGTTCTTAATATAAAGAAATACAGCTCAAATTTTGCCAGAATTTGTTTAATTTTATGCTCTACCGGTTTAGGTTTTTGTAATTCATGGTCAGAACTACTTTCAGACTTTCATTTCTCATCTATTTTTCCTATTTTCGATTCATTACTTACAGCTCCAACAGAATCACAATTATCTTTATCAAATAGTCAAAATCCAGGCATTTATTTAGAGTTATTTGCCTTATTCTATCAAATACTATTATTGCCATACGATATTTTTGAGTCTTTACCTAAAGGAAGGCAATTTGTTGTTTCTGTTTTATTACCTTTGCAACAATTCAATGAAAAGAACTCTTTGACATATTTCCATTCCCTTGCGTTGAGTACATTAGTTCTATTGACATCAGATCCCGCTCTTTCTGCTTCTTTGAATGAACCTTTCACTGGAACTTTCGCATGTAAAAGTTCAGTTCATAGAGGAACATATGCTGATTTATTAGTTGAAATAATAACGAATACAACAGGTTCTGACTTATCAAGAACTGCACCTCTTTTACCAGCAGTTGCCTGCATTATTCACAATATATCAGCACATGTCAAATCTTTTTCATTTTTCACATCAAACAGACTATTTATATTTTTGAATCAGCTCATAGAAAGTGGTGATCGACAAGCTCCTAAACTTGTTCAAATTGTCATTGATGGAATAAACCAAATAATATCAGAACAGTTTGAAAATAACACGACAATATTGATGTTCGTCGTAAAGAACCAAAACACTTTCAAAATTCTGAAACAAAAAGGTTTGAATGTGAAATATATTTTGGATTTCATTGCAGCTTTCAAACACAAAGTAAAACAAAATGGAATTGTGAAATTGGGAACTGATGAAGCAGAAAAAATACTGAAGTCAATGAGTCCGAAACAGTTCATGGATGGTTATGAACCTCCTGGACCGAGAGGACATGTATTCACAGGAGAAATGGCGGAACTGTGGACAGATTGGATGAGAACTTTGGCAATGAGAGGAGATTCAAAAAATTCAATGAAAGTTGAATGAAAAAAAAAAAAACTAAAGTACCCGAAATAAGTTGTAGACATCTTTATACAGAGAATATGTTGCCTATATTGGCAAGAACATACTGATTTGATATTCTGAGATATTATCCAACTTTTGCGTGATTCTCAATCTTTTTGAATGTTTTTTGCTAAATCATGAATTTGGCATGTATTATGATTCTCTATGTTGTTTATAATCATTTTTTGACTTATTTCAGGTACTCTATCTATTTTTATATATGAATTTTTGTTGTTATATTATATACTAAACTTGTTTTTAATTTTATGTTTAATATTGGTAGATTATGGAAGAAAAGGAACAATTCAAACATGAGGAATTTCTTCATATTGAGTTATTTATCTCTATACATGACAGTCTTGTCCATTATCATTCTTCTTCAAACATCAAATTTTGTTTTCAGTCTTAAGACAGTATACATAGAACACAATACCCACACTTATTACATTCTGAATCTCCAATAATTAGTTTTCGTTCAGAAATTTTAATCAAATTTTAAATTTTCGATAATATTATTATTCGAATTTGTCTTTTTTATAAATTATTAATGTCGGGCCAAGACGTTGATGCAAACAAATTCATCGAGTGGCGAAGTAAATACAAATACTACATAGATTCATATCTTGCGTTGTATCAGCTGAAAACGGAAATAGAAGAAGAATTAAAGTCAATTCACAAAATGATTAAAACAGAATTGATTGATTCAAAGAAATTTCTTCCCGCAAATGTAGTAAAAGACATTTTAAATATCATTCCATATAATAATCGCTATACAAAGTCATATTTATTTCTTGCCAAACTCATATCTGATGATTACCATGTTACAGAGGTCAGCAATGTTGCAATTGTTCCAAACTTCCTGTTATATAAAGAATATGGAATTAAATTAGACAAATCTGCCAATTTTAAAGAAATTAAGACAGATAATCTGGACATTCATACAGAAAATTCAATATTCAAAGCAATCATGTATAATGACAAAGAAAAATTCATCTCATTCACAGAACGAGAAGGATTGGATGAAAACCAAAAACTTGTAAGCAATTTATATCCAGATTCTGATGAAAGATATTCATTACTTGAATTATGCTGTTATCATGGAGCAGCTGATTGTTTCAAGTTCTTAAGGATGCCCTTACATTCCATAAAAATACTTGAAATATATGATTATTATTGTAGTAAAACTTTGGGGCTCTAGATCGCTTTCTATGTCGAGTTGAATGAGTTTTAAATTTTCAAAGAAATTCTGAAGAGTATTCAAAAGTGTAAAAATTTAAAAATAGAATAATATTTCCCCTTATTTCTACTAAAATAAACTTGAGTTGCAAGTAAATATTATTATTTCACAATAATTATGAAATTTTCTCTACTTACACTAGAATGCACAGCACTTTTTTGGATTGCCGTTTACAATTTCCAAACAAAGCAAGATATGGGACACAGCAATGTCTTTTGTTAACTATGTTGTTCAACCTAGTTTAGGTACCATATCGTAAAGCTGTGTACCAAAAATCCAGAGATTTTTCCATGAATTGTTAGATCAATATGCAATCATACTTATATTTCTAAAATAATCGAGTTGATACCAATGAATTCATGTTAAATTATAAAATATTGTATTTCATTGGTGAAAAATGAGTGGGGGACAAACTCGCCCATTGTCACTTTTCATTAACCTTAAACTCGTAATTTTCATTATTTTTAATTAACCTTATTTCTTTCCCAATTCCTGATTTATTTTATTCACTTACTATTAAAAGTCACATTTTAATAAAATATAATAATTTATTTATAGCATTTTTTACTATACTGTAATAAAAAATTAATTATAATAAATTAAATGTTTATTAAATCAAATGTTTTCTTTGCAATAATATTTTTAATGTTGAGTAAACAATGTTGGGATCAAGTGTATCATTTTTCAGACCTTTCTGAACAGCTTCAAGCATACTGATGCATTCGACTTTTTTTAAATTGTGTCATTTCTTCGAAATCTCTTGTTGAAACATTTCCGGAATGATCCCACTATCAAATGGGATATTAAGATCTTTGAAACACCTTAATTGTGCGTAAACACGGTCTTGATTTGATTCAAAATATCTTGTTAAATAAGATCTATAAAAATATGATGTAATTTGTTGTGATTTGTTTGGAAAAGGGGCAGAATGATTGTGGGTGTTAATACATTTTTCGTATGTGATACTTGTCATCGGGAAGTGTATCAACAAGGAAGCGACATGGACAATTCGGCCACTTACAATTAAATTGGATTTGATTTCTTTCTTTCCTAGTTTTATATGAATAACTACAACCTGCTTGGATTTCTTGTTGCACTCCATACTTAAGCAACTCGATATATGTGAGTTCGTGATCTTGGATCTGCATTAAAATGAAATGATTTGAAAGAATAAAGAATTTTGAATATATTGATCTTATTTTGATAAGCTTGGTCGTGTTTTGAATAGCTTGGCCATCTAATTCAATTATGATCTTTGAAAATTAGGTGAAATAAAACTAAACATAAATGTAAAACTAGGGATATGAAATTTTGGTTGTACACCACTTGTATGTGCCGGATACCATTGTGTCAAATTTTTTCTGAAATTAACTTTAAAAGTACTAAGTAAGATCATGAGATATAGCAATATATGTTTAAACCAACTTATATTTTGGTTGTACACCACTTGTATGTGCCGGATACCATTGTGTCAAATTTTTTCTGAAATTAACTTTAAAAGTACTAAGTAAGATCATGAGATATAGCAATATATGTTTAAACCAACTTATATTTTGGTTGTACACCACTTGTATGTGCCGGATACCATTGTGTCAAATTTTTTCTGAAATTAACTTTAAAAGTACTAAGTAAGATCATGAGATATAGCAATATATGTTTAAACCAACTTATATTTTGGTTGTACACAACTTGTATGTGCCGGATACCATTGTGTCAAATTTTTTCTGAAATTAACTTTAAAAGTACTAAGTAAGATCATTTATTTTTGCATAATATAATGCCAATATGGTTTCTTTTGATTTTATTTCATTTATAAGCAAATCAGATTTACCCAAAAACTCCACTCCATAAGCGTTCATTTGCGAAATTAAAAAGTGACAATGGGCTAGTCTGTCCCTTTCTCAAAATTTTTTCGAAAATCATGTTTTTTCGAGTGTTTTTCTAAATCCGACAAAGAGTTGATATTAGACCACCAAAGTTATATATGATATGAAGATACCATATGTGATTCTAAATGATGTATATTAATGGAAAAAATATATTCCTGTAAAGAAAAAAATAAGTTTTTATTAATTTGGAGGATTAGCAAGTTGATAGAACTCTCAGAAAAAATTGAGGGCTTTTTAATCCTCGTAGTAAAAAAAAAAAAAAAAAAAAAAAAAAAAAAAAAAAAAAAAAAAAAAAAAAAAAAAAAAAAAAAAAAAAAAAAAAAAAAAAAAAAAAAAAAAAAAAAAAAAAAAAAAAAAAAAAAAAAAAAAAAAAAAAAAAAAAAAAAAAAAAAAAAAAAGGTAGTGGGGCTTCCAGGCACTTCGTGCCTTCTAGCCCTGAAGATGTTTAGTATAAATGAAGTTCTTATATACGGGTCTTCCAGGAGCTTTTCACAAATTATATATGTTTTTCATGTTTTGTCAAGATTTCATCGTAAAGACTTTGTCAAGATTTCATCGTAAAGACTTTGTCAAGATTTCATCGTAAAGACTTTGTCAAAACTTCATCGTAAAGACTTTGTCAAGATTTCATCGTAAAGACTTTGTCAAAACTTCATCGTAAAGACTTTGTCAAAACTTCATCGTAAAATCAGACAAAAATAATGTTTAGGGTAGAAGGTTAGATATAACCTCTTTTCTAACCTCTTTTCTACCCTCTTGAATTTGTCAAGACTTCTTCGTAAATGTTTTGTCAAGACTTCTTCGTAAATGTTTTGTCAAGACTTCTTCGTAAATGTTTTGTCAAGACTTCTTCGTAAAATCAGACAAAAATAATGTTTAGGGTAGAAGGTTAGATATAACCTCTTTTCTAACCTCTTTTCTACCCTCTTGAATTTTCATGAAATTTACACCAAAAATATACTACTAGGGTCATTTACGAAGAAATCTCAACAAAGTCTTTACGATGAAATCTCAACAAAACATAGACAAGAAAGTTCATGAGAAATTAGATGAAGAAGTCTTAACAAAGTCTTTACGAAGAAATTCATGAAAATTCAAGAGGGTAGAAAAGAGGTTAGAAAAGAGGTTATATCTAACCTTCTACCCTAAAATATATTTTTGGGTCATTTACACTCATTTACGAAGAAATCTCAACAAAGTCTTTACGAAGAAGTCACAATAAAACATCTGTCAAAAACCGCTTTTCTGTCACTTTTCAGGAAAAAACATTTTTATTATATATATAAAATGAATTTTACAAAACCACCGTTACCCTTCTTTGGAAATAAGAGTAGATGTAAAGATATTCTATTGAGAGAACTTAAGAAACTACCGAATGGTCTAACATTTGTAGACTTGTTCGGTGGAAGTTTCTATATATCTCATTTGTGCCATACAATATTCCCAGACTCAAAGATTATATGCAATGACTTCGACAACTATATGGACCGTCTCAAACATATTCCAGACACTAACAAAATATTGAAAGAGTTAAAAGAAAAGATACCTATAGGTAAGATGGAACGTATACCATTAGATAACAAAAATACTGTCAGAGAGGTTTTGAAAAAGGCAGAGTATATTGACTGGGATAGTATATCTTCTAGACTATTATATAGTGGTTCTATAAGAGTTCATGACATTGAAACACTTATGTCAAACGTTTTATATCTTAACTATACAAATGTTTTCAAAGAGAACATAGAAAAATATACTGAGGGTATAGAGTTTGTGAGATGTCGTTGGACAGAGTTGTATGAAAAATACAAAGACAAGGAAAATGTTTTCTTTATAGTAGACCCGCCGTTCTATAACACATACGATTTTCAATACCAAGTAGACTGGACTTTGAGAGACTCTTTAGAAACTTTAGACGTTTTACATAACCATCCATGCTTTTACTTTACATCCGATAAAAGTGGTTTGGAAACCGTTATGAGATGGTTAGAGGACATACATGACTATGAGTTTAGATATGATAGGATAGAATATGAGAGAGGTCCTATAAACCGGAAAAAGTGTCACAACAAAGAAATTTTATTGGTAAGTAAATGTGGTTTGAAATAGGACTACTTGTTTTAGGTTTTTTCCATTGTGTCATTTACTTATTTGACGTGGCAGAAAGATATAGAGAATATGAAGATGAACCAATGCCTGCAAATGTTCAGTATATGTACTCGTAAGAGATATTTTTATCTAATATTAAATGAAGATAGTGTTAAAATGGTTCTGACCAAAGAATTATTTTTTTGTATTTCTTTGAGTATCTTAGTGGTTAAATCACCTTATTCTAACTATTTTGGTCTCATTCGTCTATCTTTTAACTGTTTCAAACTTCAATGTTTAACATTTCTGTTCTTACATTACAAATATAAAAAAAGATATTTTAAAAAAACTGTTAATTTTTATTTTTTCTATTCTTAGAAGAAATTCATGAATTTTCATACGGAATTCAGCAAAAAAGATATTTTAACGGGTAGAAGGTTAGCTCTTAGCCTCTTTTCTACCCTCTTTTCTACCCCAGTTATTTTTTATAAGCGTCTTTTACATGGGTACATTGTGAATTCGTGAAAAGTGCTATCTAACAATTTCGTAGCTTCTATTCTTACTGTCAGTTACAATCGAATGTTTTAACTATGCGACAATGTTTCCTTTATATTTCTTCTTGACATCAGATAGAGGAAATCGTCAGCTGTTGGATAGTTTTTGTTCAGAAATGTCAACAATGGTCCCATTTTATCTTCTGCTGGCTTTTCTTGCCTCCCTCTTTAAATCTGCATGTCGTTTCTCATTCTTTCTATTCCTCTTTGACGGGAGATTAGTTAATTTTTCTCATTGCTGCTTTACATTTTTGAACATTGTGGGTTCATTGTTAGCATTGTTACATTGAAATCCTTACCTGCTAGTATGACTAAGGGTCAATTGCTCTCTTTAACTCAAAGTTTGCGGGTTTTATCTGTTCATTCCATATCTTACCTCTTCGTGTCTTTATCTCTTATCTGCCATACACATTTTGCAACTAACAAACAAAGT